CATTAGCAGCCGCAAATGGCGACCTGCATGCTAAATACTGACAAGTACAGACAGACACACACACACACACACACATACACAGACACACACACAGATACACACACACACACACACACACTTTAACATCTGTAAGGACTGTCACTTTTTATGCAAAGCAGAAAAAACAAAAATTACTAAACATCTCACACAAAACTACAACAAGACATTTGTATTTACACACGAGGAAGTAAGGGGGATGGCGGGGCGTGTTTAAATGGCATTCCAAATGCGCTTAATAATCAATATTTTGAGGTGATAATTGTGTGCGTGCGTTGCCGAGCCAAGTTGTACGTTGACTCAGGCGAGAATTTGTTGAATACAATTTGATGTCTGTTGCTTTCGTATTATTATTGTTGATTTCAATTTGACTACAATTTAATAAATATATTTGCTCGAACGTTGTTTGCATTAGGCGAATAAAATAAAAATTTATCTGTTATGTCAATAAAATGACAATATTTCACGTAGCTTTTCTATTTGCATTTTATATTGTACGGCAATTAAACTTTGCCGTTAGCAAGCTGTAAATTGTGCAAATAAACAACAAGATTACAATAAAATTTAAAACAACGTTTGTCAATGAATGTAGGACAACAATTGATAATTCAAAAATTTGTATTTTATAAACAACAATTGAAACTAAATTTTCAAATGAATCAGCTATATTACATGCACATTTTGTATGTATATTGTGCAAATCTTTGAAAATACAATTCACATTTGCCATTTATATTCAGTTTCATTTAAATAGTGAAATGCATTTTTTGTACAATTTTGGTAATTTTTTCGTGACAAATTTATTTACATTTAATACACTTAACAGCAATCACACGAAATATGCCAGATATCTGTAATAATTTTAAATTAATATTGTTTTCCCTCTGTTTTTTCATATCACTTTTCAGCATGCCCGCTAGCCACAAAATTAAATCAAAAAGATTCATTTTTTACATATTTCTGCACAATTTGCGCATGAAAACAAAAAATGTGCGTGGAGACCACAGAAAATATTGATAATAATTGGCGGCATTCACTGCCATTGGATTTGTATATTAACTCAATTCAGCGACGCTCGCAGGTTGATTTAATTACGCGTCCAATTGATCAATGCATTCTTCCACGCTATTTTTTGTAACTTAAAGGTTTTTTCAGTGAGTTGTAATTCATGTTGAACGCTTAGGCAGACAAATCCTTTGGATAATATTTTGATAGCAAAGGGATTTTCACGACTTAAGAAAAACTTTGTTGGCCAACTTCTCGAAGAATGCGTGGCAGAGACACATGTAGCCCACAAACCCGTATTAATAAGTCAGCGGGGAACTCAATGTATGCGAAATGTAAATGTAACGCATGTGGCACAGAAGCATACCATGCGTATACGTAATGTCGTTGACATGCAGTGCAAGTCATGAGATAGTGGGGACTCAGAGTGCTGGGGGTGTTGGGGAATGTTGGCTGCTGCAGCAAGGACATTTGTGACATTGTGTTAATGCGACTTATGTGACAAGGCAGTTAATTACTCGCAATGTTTTGTAAGCAACTCGTCAAGCAACGAAAAAACTGCGTCAAACTTGGCTCCAAACAATGAGAAATATTTAACACCTCCCCGCCCACCCCACCGCATACGTCGGCAAAGCCGTGCCTCCAGCTGTGCTTGACTTGGAAATGCTTTTTAACAGCAGCCGCTTTCGTTGTTTACTTTGGCAAATGCTGCACAACACAACACATTACAGACATGTCAGCCTGTGTGTGCGCGTGTATAAGTTGGTTTGTTTATTTGTTTGTCAAGCTCTTTGGAAAATATATATAATTAAATCCAACATTAGTTGAAGCACTTGAAGTGTATTTGACAGCTTTCCGGCAATATTATTTGTGGAATGCCTCAGCTAACAAGATGAAAGCAAAACTTCATTGAAAGCAATTCAAGATAATAGCCACAGTTGCCTATTCTACGAATATAATTATCAAATTTATAATGCTTTCAAAAAACAGTTTTAAATTCTTTCACTTTAACTCTTCAAATTATTCTGCAGTTATGTGAGCGCCAATCAAAGGAAGTTCAAGTCAAATTCAAAGAAACAAAATAAAAATCTTGTGTCTTAGTTATAGCTCGAACTTAACTATTAAATTCAACAGAGCTGCTTTAATGTCTTAACTTTCTCTCCGCCAACTAACAGCAATTTATCATGTTTTTAACTGCAGTACACAGTTCAGCAAAAGTCGTGGGAGTATTTCAAAAGTGTCACAGCCGGCAACTTGTCAGTGTACTGTATAAGAACAACAGTAACCACAACCACAACAGCAGCCAAAATTGGTAACAATATAATTTAAGAGGTTGTCGGGCTGCAGCGAGGGCGACGGCCCCATGACCCACGTAATTTACAAGTCAGACAGAGACTGACAGCAACAATAACAGGAACAGCAATCATGGGGCAACCATAATCAAAGCATGAGCGAGACAGCGGCGTTTTGCGCTTTCAAAATATAAATATGACAGGGAAAAGGCCCAAAATCCAGCCGCCGGCCAACAAACAAAAATATCCGGGAAAGAACTCAAAAAAAAAAGAAGAGAAAACCACAGGAAAACAACAAAAAACACCCCGCGCAGCTGGCGTTAAACTCAAGCATAATCACATAATAAACAAGCGCAAAATGGAATGAGTAAAAAAAAGGACACACGCACACATACATACATACACATCTAACATTTTCCGGCTGCTGTGGGCTTTTAATGGCGCAGGAAACCAAAAACCAGCGCGATAATAAATATGAGTTAAAGTGTAAAAAAAAGCAGGCAGACAGCATCAAGATAAACAACAATAAAGTGAAAGAATATGTGCATATAGTCTAATTTGGAGCCACACTCACGCAACACAAACAACACACACACACACACACACATGACACAAACTGAATGTTTGAAATTAAATGCGCATCGGCAGACACAAAAATTCTGTGGCTGCTGCACTTGAAAGACGCACAAGTTCCGGACTTGGCGTCAAGGCCAAACGGATGGAAGACGAACGGAAGACGGACGTGTGGTCTGACAGACAGACAGACAGACGGAACTGTCAGTCAGATAGGCACAAAAATCTTGGTAATATGTGTTAGCCACTGCCGTTGTTGTGGTTGGCTTTATTTTTGTTGTTGCTGTTGTGTCTCTTTTCAGTTTGCCTTCTCTCGTTTTCCACCCATTTGCACTGTTTTTTTGCGCTTAATTCCACTTGACTTGTGTTCGTGGTTTGCTTGTGTGTGTGTGTGTCTTAAATACTAAGTTTAATTTGTCATATTTATCGTTCAGCTTAGATAAATTTAATAGCTAAACTTTGTTGGCCTTTAGCTGATTGTTTTGGGCTGTGAAGCATTTAATTTGATTTAAAGCCCATGCGTGTATTTAATGTGAATGACCTGACTGTAATTATATATATATATATATATATATATATGCATATAGATAGTCATTAACTTTGTTATCATAAATTTGTGTCGAAATTTTAAGTGGACCCTGAGGTGGCAGGCAAAATTGTAAGTTAGCGTCTTATGAATTTTAAAATGATTTGTTGGCTATTGCCCTAATTGAATTTGTTGATGTTTGCAAACAAAGTTTTAGATTGGTTTGAATTTTTTAATATTTATGATTTTCTTTGAGCTAATTTATATGTATATTTTGAGAAATAAGGCTTTCATTTAAAAGAAAGTTAGAAATAATATTTATATGTATACGTTTTAATTCTTTAAATGAATAAGCAGTTTTCAAATTCTCAACTTTTGTCTGGCTTGAAAACTTTAATTTAGCAAAGACTTTTTCGTGTTTGTGCCTTGGTCACTGTCGCAACAGCACTTTCTCTCTCTCTCTCTCTCTCTCTCTGTTTGTGTTTTCATCTATATCTTTCTAGCAATTCCCCTAACACAAATCTCAGTCTTGTATGAACTATACCACGAACTTGGCCTCCAGTTTTCCTAAGCCGTTGTTTTGGGGTAACAGCAAGATGCACAACATGTTATTTTTGCTTTCTCTGTTATGTCTGTTGTTATTGTTTGTTTTTTTTTTTTTTTTATTATTATTTCTTTTTGGTGGCAGAAAATATTCCTCAAATTCGTTTAGCGCAGTGGAAAATTGCGCAAAATTGTTTTGTGCTTTCTATATACATATATGTGTATTATCTGGTTGCTGCTGCCGTTACATTACAAACAAATTGAGTTTAGCTCGAATTATGCTTGCCTTTTTGGCATGCCAGACAACATGGACAAGTGGCACGGGTGCCACTGTGGTGCTGTGGTATTTTAGATTGTCCATGCCCAAGCGACCCTAAAGTGACTGCAGCAAACAGTTTTACTTTTGGCCAACACATACAAGAACACACAGACACACACATGTGTACACTGACATATACGAAGAGCCAAAAGTCATTTGAGATGCTTTTTTCAGACTCTGCTCATATAATTTATGAGTTTGCGCCTCAAGTTGTGGGCCACATGGTGGCAACATGCGCTTTCGTCTTTTTTTGTCCTGGACTGCAGCGGCTTATCGCCATTGTCTCTGCTGCTACTGCTGCTGCTGCTGCTGCTGGTTTGCTGTAGTCGTTGTTGCTGCTTTTGCTGCCTGGCAGTTTATGAAAACTGCAATGGCAAATGTTTGGCTTTGCTCCACTCCCATCGCCACTCCTCTGCTGTCCTCTCTGTCTCTCTCTCTGTCAGCAGCACCCTGGAGTGCAATGTCCTTGTTTATGCGCTGACACTCGTTGTTGTTGTTGCTGTTACTGCTGCTGTGGTGCTTGATTGAATTGTGTCCTTGTCAGTGCATGTCCTGCAGCAGCAGCAGCAGCAGCAGCAGCAGCAGCAGCCAACTGACTGACTGACTGGCAGCCCATGTGCGTGTTAAACAACTTGCAGCTCACCTAAAAGTTTAATTAACTTTTCAGCTGAATTTCTAAACAAGCTTTCCGTTTTACCTTTTCTATTTTTATTACATTTAGTTGTTATTTAAGCTAAGCTCATATACAATTTTAAAGCAAATTTGTTGCCTAAACGCATTAAGAATTTTCAAGCGATTTGCGAATTCCGAGAATATCTTGAGCACAGCACGTGTGTTTGCTATAATTATGTGTGTGGATGTGTGTATGGACCTTTGCGTGTGTGTGTGTGTGTGCGTGTGTGTTTGTGGGTTTGGAATATTGGACTGTCAAGTGACTTACAATGACAGCAACGGTTTTTGACAGCTGCAAACTAACGGCATTACAAGTGACAGTTGGCGTCTGTTGCGGTTTGTGTTAAAAGCCCACGCCCCTATACCTGCCCCGGGCCCCCACACGAGTATATTAATGCATTAGAATGTGTGGGTGCTCTTAAGGATGTGCACAAATATATGTTTACGTTAACAAAGCCGAGCCATTCAAGTGGCAAGCCAAAACACGAAAGCATAAGCAGCAACAGCGGCAACGGCATCGGCAGCAGCAGCAGCAACAGCAACATCAAAAACAACAACAGAATCACGAAACTTGCCACAGCTCAAGCCAATATGCCGCACCACCACAACCACCCAGCCAACCACCTACACGCATTCACATTGAATGCAGTCATGTGCACAAAGGCGAAAACATTGTTGCCGTGCGCGAGTTTTGGGTAGATAACAGCGAAAACGACTGCTGTTGATAATTTTCAATGGTGCTCTACACTGAGCGAAATTAATCGGAAAATGTTATAACAGAGTTGAGCATCGAGTAGAGAGTATTATTCGTTATCGGCATCTTCGCTGCGCGGATGCGTCGACGTCCGTTCAGTTCGATCAGCTGTTGGCTGCAATTGAGCTGCTGCATATGCGTCAGAAGCCTCTTGATCGGCCTTGGCCTTCTCCTGCTCCTCCTGCATGCGTTTCTTCATTTCGGCGGCATAATCCGCAAAGGTGAGATTAATATCGAACGGAGTACGCTTGAAGATATTTGGCGGCACATAGTTGTTCTGTATGGGCCAGAAGTTGCCATCGTCATCGGGTCTAAACGGTACCTTACCATACAAATTGGCGAAATCTTCGAGCGTATAATAGAATCGGTCAGCGGAAAGTACCAGTTCAATACGTTGGACTTCCGGCAGCAGTCTGCGGAAGATTTCCGGTGGCAGTATCTCCGAGACGCCTCTTGTCAATAGGGCGGCTTTACTAGTAGACTGATTGAGACGCAGACTATGCCCGTCCTCATCATCGCTGTCACCCTGCTCAAACTCGTTTGTGCTTGTCAGTTCTGTTTGGAGCATCGAACTGAGATGAGCTGTTGCCCTCTCTGCCGGGTGAGACGGTTCCAGGCTATCTCGTATTAGAGCACATATATTACACATTTTGTCCTTGATGATTAAGTGCTCCTTCCCCATCAGATATTCATCCGTGGGCGTTGACGGAGGAAACTTCTCGTTGAGAAAGACAGCTGGAATGCGTCTAAACACCAACTCCTTTGTGTACAGCTGTCGGGAGAAGCAATTGCTATTCAAGGGAATCAAGATTAACGCTACACACCACTCACTTCTTTGATATGATCTTCTATCAAAAAGACACGATTACTTTGCCAGAACTCATCCACAATTGCCAGCAGCTTATTGCAAAAGATGCCCATCAAATCTTCACCGCTCTCCAGCATCATCATCGTGTATTCGTTCATATAGACAACTATGCCGCACATCGGATCTGGTGTATAGGACAACTCGCGGCAATCTTTGTGCAGCGCTAGCAGCTTATCGGTGAACTGTGCGAATATATCCTTGGGCGGTGCAGGTGCCACTTGTTCTGTTTTTCGGTACTCCTCCTCCTCCGACTCTGTGGATGCTGCTTCCTCGTCAAAGCGAAAAGTGCGAGTTAATGTTTCCAAATCTGGATCGATTGGATCCGCAATTTTAGTTGGCAAGTCTGCCTCATCTACACCCTCGTTGCCCGGTAATCCGTCCTCCGTTGACTGCTGTGAGTAGTGCTGCTCGTCACCATCGTTAAAAATGACTTCGGCGGTGCGTAAAGTAGCTGTTTCTCCATCCACAATTGAGGCAGTCGTTACACTGGGCCGCTGTTCCGTCACCGTCGGATTGACGAGGCTCTCACGTTTGAGCTCCACATTCTTGGACAGTATGAAAATGCGCTGATAGAACACCGATGTATTCATCCCAAACAGCTCATCGTCCACATATTCCACGAGGGATTTGCGCACCTGAAAGACCTGAGGACGCTTTAGAGTAAAGAACGCTTGTCCCACTCGAGAATGCCGCAATTTAGCATTGATTGTCGAAGTGCCCCTCGAATGATGTTGCGACATGTTTCTGCACCGCTTAGTTGACTTCTGTTTCTGTTAGGGTTATTTTCTACAAATGTTGTCTAGTAACAAGAATATCAAATGGTTGCTAAGCTCCAATACGGCAACTGTTTATATTTATTTATATGAAGAAACAAGTTTTCTGTATGGTTCACACATAAATCAATACATAGGTAATTGAACTTTAATATGTTTCAAGCAATTAAATAAATCAATTTAATGGAGTGCACAATTAAGAAATTGTTATTAATATTATGAATTCATGGCCGCACTTATTGCTAATTAGAAGTAGTCAAATTATGTAAAATGTAGCCAACCAGATAATCAATGTTGAGGGCAAAAGTCTCTGTCAAACATTAATTATGAAAGATTAACCGGCATTGCTAGTGAATTTCTTGCAGTGTAGATTGTTATTATTTGACAATGTGGAGGTGTGTTTCAACTGCTGCTGCTGCTCTTGCTTCAATTATTATTATCATTCGCATAAAATCCAAACGCTGCTGGGGCCTTTTGCTTTTCTCGAAGTTAATTTATTCATGGCGCATTTATGAGCAACTACAACAAACACAAAAGAGCAGCAGTATTGCCAACAACAATTTGATGGTAAACTTCTTCATCAGTGTTGCTATTGTAATTTGCTGCTGTCTCCCTCAATCTCGCTCGCATTCTCTCTTTCGCACACGCATCCTGTGATGCTTTAACTAGCTCTTCTGCAGCAATCTGACACACTTGGGCATTCAACATGTTGAAATGATAATGAGCGAAAATTGTTTTTTGACTCGCTCCCCAGGTGTCTTGTGTGTTGCACAAAAGTCGAGAAACTTGCTACAAAGCCAAAACTTGCCGGCTCCTCTAACCATATTGCGCTGGAGCCTTATCCATTTCTGCCACTTTTGGGTTGAGTGGCCGTTTACAATTTAGTTTATTTGCTGGAAAGTTGCGTAGCAATTTGTGGCCTTGTCTGTTGCCCTGACTGCCAGGATAGCCTTGCAGCCTTGATAATAGTCCTGTGCCATATGATTCTTAAAGTCAGCTTAAAGCCGTTCCATGTTCACTTTCGTTGAATATGTCAATTGTGAGCTTCGCCTTGGCTCATTGAAATTTTCTGACTCCTCAACTTCGATTTCTTGGCTGCAGTTCTGCCAACAAGCTGCAAAACCACACGCCCCCATTTTTGCAGACTTGCCAATGTTGCCAGCACTGATTGCACACAAGTTCTTAGTCAATATTTGTCAATTTCAATGAAATGAGAATTTGACATGCTAGCAAACATGCTGACAAACACAGCTCTGATGATCTGCGATGGCAGCGCTATCGTGTATCCAGTTGTCAACGCAGTTGCATGCCCAGCGTCCCCACGAATCTACACCTCGATTTGCAAACACTGAACAGGCGGCGATGGCCAGTAAACCCACGCCAAGCTCTCTCCACACTCCCAGACGTCCCAAATACACAGACATTCATTCAGAGAGAGGCACACACAAACAGACAAATGGCCAGACGGATGGACAGACAATGCCAAAGGCATGCAGACTGACAACGAATGGGTAAATTAATTGCGATTTGTATGCAGTGGCAATTTTGTATTGCAAAGTGATTGATGGGCTGGTTAATCAAGTGCTCCTACAAAAACCAGTGCGAATTCCAACATAAAGCATTTTCAAACAGGTTATAAATATGTTGAATTTAAAAGAGGTAAGGCAGCATCAATCAGAGAGTTAACAAGTGAAAATAGCAGCGATTGCCGAATAAAGTTAATCAGGGAATCCAACTGAAAGCAGATGCGTAAGTCGATTGAAATCAAGAGTTTTCAGGCACCTGTAACCAAAACCGATGTTATTGAAATCGAAAAGACCACATCAGAATTGTATAATTATAATGCTACAGCTTCTGGATTCTAAATTGGAATATGGAAGAACATAAAGCTATGGTAATGGCCATTACTCTCAAATACCACACCCTAATTAATATACAATTCAAGCAATTTTCCATAATATTTAAAGCCCGCCCATATTCCACAGCTGTCGGGCAAACAAACGCACATAAATGCGATCTGTTACCAAATAAAGACTGTATAATATCAAATCAATAAATGTAATTAAAACTTTATAAATTTGGTGTCTGTTATACACCGCACATTTTAATAAATAATTCAATTTAAATATGTGGCGCATCAGCAGCAGCACGGAAAGAGCGAGCCTGGATAAAAAGTTCCAGTGGTAATTTGTTGCTTGTCAAAAAGTTTTACCGATGCAATTAAATTTGTAGAATGGATAAAAATGCATTCAGCAGAATGCTATAAAATGTTTAATCAATTAAATACCCTTATCCAACCATTCAGTGGAAGCAGTAAAAGTGCCAGGGAAAATTGTCTGCAGAGACCGATTGGCCAATTAATGCCATCTAATTTAGTTGCGCAACTGGGCAAAACTGACCCAAAATCAATACTGTCCACCCACAACACAGATTCCCTCCACCCACATCTTTTTCGGCCATTTCGCCCTGCCAGCTCTGACAGGCAACTCAATTATATTTTTATTTATGCGGCAACATTCGCGCACTCAAACAAAAAGCATTTGGAGGCATCCCATATTATATGTTCGCCGAGCCACAGACAATGGAAAATTTATTGTTTCGCCAGTCTAAGCAAATTTAGGAATGAAACTTTGCTCGTGTGCGCTTAAGCATTAATAAAGTTATGTATTTCATTATGAAATAGCCGAGCGGAACCGTTGCGAACCGATTCAATTGCTTGGCAATTGTCAGTGGAGGCTGGACAAACACACGAGCAGACATATGGCGACAAATCATAAAAAAAAGAAGTTGGCACTATGAGAGTTTTATGAGGCAAACTTTCCTTTAAATAGAATTGCCCAGTGAAGCCCAAGTACGAAGCACGAAAGCTGATAAAATTAACAGAGACTTTGCTCATTTGACGTTCCCCAAAACATTTTCGCCTTTTAGGAAGAAGAGCTGAACCGGAACTAAAAGGAAATGGGTATGTGTTATTAGGAACGCTCTTGACTAGCATGTGGTCAACATGACCCTTTTTTTTGTTGCTTTCTCTTATCCATTTTCTTGCGGCATTCCAAAATGGCACATCCGGCGCTTAAGTGTGCGAGTGTGTGTCAGCGGGCACGGTACACATTCCACAGATTCCACTTTGAGCGGGTTGAATTTCACCCGTTTATGAGGTCATTTGAGCCCACTGAAAATGCCCCAAAGAAAATTGTGCATCCATTTCACCAAAAGTTTTTTCTCACAAACATTGAAGCACACATTTTGGCTTTAGCAGTTGATGATAGCAATTAGCATTCAGATAAACGCTTCGTTATCACCAACAAAACAAAAATTTAAAACCATCTTCCTTTCTACGCTTCTCATTTTCTATTCGGAATCTACAATTTAGATTTTGAATAAAAATGCAGAAAAGCAGAAAATTGCATATTCTTTGGCAGGGGAAAGACAAATTTGGCAACAATAACAACAATGACGGGGCTTGATTAAAATAAAAATGTCTCTTTGTGTTTGTATTTATCTATCTCAATCTGTATTTCTCTCTCTCTCTCTCTCTCTCTCTCTCTCTCTCTCTGTCTCTTTCTCTCTGTATGTCTCTGTGTGCGAGTATGTGCGCGGAAATATCAAACAATTAAATAACACGCCAGCAGAAATAAAACAAAATCCGAAAATGAACTCAATTTGCTGGCATCTAAATCATTTTTAATTTGGGCCAACAAAAGAGCAAATACTATACAAAATTTTTCAATGTTTGTGTATGTGGGTGTATGGGTGTATTTTTGTTGTGCATAGCGGGAAGGTGGCGCACTAGAGAACAACAACAATAACAACAACAACAACATCACTAATGCAATATACTCTGCTGCATGTACCGTTTCACGCTGCTGCACAATTATTCAAATCCACGAGCCATGACTGCCAACAGTAACTAGAGGATGTATAGTGGGCGAGGGAGTTGGATGGGGGAGGGGCAAGGACACCAGAGAGCAAACAGAGGAGAAAGGATTTTTAGAAAGCCTTCACTCGTTGCCATGTTTTGCTTTTATTCCCACTATTTTTTGTTGTTGTTGTTCTGCCTTTATTCTCTCTTATTTTTTGTTATTTAAATTATTTTTTTCTTGTTCTCGACAATTTGTCACAATAATAAAGCAATTGTAGACTCTGCAAACAACTTTACAGGTTCTTTAATTTAACTAAATTACCCTAGGGCTTGTAACACGCTTTGCAAGTGCATTTATATACAGCAAGCTTCTGGAGCTCCTCTTAATAATAAAGGCAAGTACTTTATTAGAGTAATGAGAGTCTTGACTGCTGTTGGCACCTCAATTGTGCCCTAATTAATTAATCCAATCTACATTAAATTTGCATTTACCTGGAATTCTCTTCAATTTTTAAAACGAAGTTTGCTCCTAATTGGGTTGGCATTCTTTAAATTCAAAACACAACACGCACATACAAGAAGAATGAAAACCATTGTAAATCCGATGTAATTTATGTCATTCCCACGTGAGATATATGCCAGCAAGCTGAGCCTTTTAAGCCCAAAGTAAAACAAGAGAGAGAAAAAAAAAACTATCAATTGCGATGATCATATTGCTAACAAGCAGCTGCAACAGACTCGTTTTGTCCAAGAGGCTAATAAATATGCCTAAGCACTGTCATTCCATTCGAAATGACAACGCCAAGCAAATTACGTAAAATCAACGAGGGCGGCTCCAAGAGAATCCCAAAAGTGTAATAATAATAATTTTACAAATGCAAATGTCTGCAAAGAGTTCGAAATATTTTGGCATTAATGTGGCCATTTTTTATTGGAACATGGCCAGAGAAATCTTGTGCAAACCCACGCCAATGAAGAGACTTACTCAGCCCCAGGATACACTAAAGTGAATCCATAAAATGGAAAAGGGCCCAATGTCTCACACCCGCTGTTTCATGTCTGATTGCCTGCTGCAACATGGCGTATGAGCAACGTGCGGCTACCACTTAGAAGTAATAACATGCCTGGGAGCGGCATAAAAATC